TAAAACCAAGTTTACATGACTCACGTGTTTTACTTTCGACCTTACACACGCACACGAGACCCTACATGTGTTATGCTCAGTTTATCTTCTTTTTTTTTCCGTCAGTTGACTCGCGAATCAGTAAATGTTGGCGTGGTTTGGTACTTAGTTATATAAAGAAGAGTCAGGCGTTAAATGAAAACTTGTAAAAGAACTAAATTTTAAAAAGAATTTTTATTCTAAGTAATATAACTGATTTTCTATTCAGTGATTTAGTGTTTAAAGACTAACAAACACAAAACAAATTAATGTTATGTAATCACAGTTAGCTTGTAAGGCTATTCGTAAAACAAATTTTTTTTAAGTTTTAAGTGGTTTAACCAAAAAAATACACTAAGTTAATTTGTTTGTCTGCAACAGTTCCTCTATCGTTACTCCGGCTAGTCTGTGGTTTAGTCGGAAACAAGGCCTCATAATTCATGTCTCAATTTATCGGTATTACATAACATGATTTCGTGTCAGGAGTTTGCTGTAATCAGGGTGTTGCGTCAGTGCCACCCACTAGCTGCAAAACTCTCGCTGAAATTCAATCTGAGAGAAACATGCATTTGATAAAACGTGTGGACGGAAAATGAAACGTGACAGAACTCGTAGGTTCTCGCAGAAAACGTCCAATTTCCAAACAGAAGTATCTGAAAAGACAACCTAAAGCAAAAAATTTTGCCGTTTATATCAGTAATTTTTAATACAACTGATTCAGTGCGTCTGACTTTGGGACCAAATGTCTGCTTCAAAAGAAAATTCTTCCAAAAACGACGTTTTGTCTGGTTTAACAAACAGCCTCCCTTTGGTAAGTTCAATTGACTTCAACCAATTTGTTGTTTATTATTTACTTAGGGCATATTGACATGAGTAAAGATATGAAATTAATTCAAAGAACTGTTATGTAAAACGTTTTCTTATAGACGTTAATTTTATCATATAACTTGTTTTTTCTTTACTTGGAAAATCACCGCTAAGTAGTTGGGCAGCCACCTTTATTATCACAACTATTATCATTACTATTATCATTTTTATGACAGTTATAGAAGTTGTCATTGGTAACAGTAATGCTAGATAGAGAAATAGTGGCCGGCAGCAGTGATAAACTACAAACAAAATCTGACTTATTTGATCCATCACGCAAATCAGGTCGCTAATAACAGTAATTGGCTAAGTGTAGGGTTACGTATTCAAGTTTGTAAAATTGTATTTGATTCAGCGTGGACTCTCTATAATTTATTTCACTATCTCATATATGTGCGTTATAAATGACCAATTCACAGCGAAGCATGATACCTGATATGCCAGACAAACAATGTTGGAAAATGTTTAGAAACAGTGTAACAAAGCGTGGCACCATCAACAGCTTGTAAAGATCTAAAAGTGTTTCCGTGCTTTAGAATGTTTTGGGGGTTGCCTATGAACTCACGGAATAACGAAGTCCACTGATTCAACTTTATCAAACGAGTTTAAAGGTGACAGTATGGCTAATATGGGGCGAGAATGGAGTACGTTAAACACAAGAAAACGAGTTTGCTAAGTTATATCCAAATAGTAATACATCTGTGATCAGAGCTGGGTAATTGTATTCTTCTCTTTAGGAACACTTCATCGCGGCAGCATGTCAGTAAATATGAAATCAACACCGAAATAATAATTCTTCCCCTTAAAATCACCTTACGGTTCACTGACCGATTATGCTTCATCAAGAGACTACAAAGTTCCATTCAAAATAATCTCATTACTGCTTTCAAAAATAGTTTTGATTTTGACAATACATTTCACTTTTTCCTCAACAAAAATTCGTCTATCATCAATTATTCATGGACAAACCTGAAGCACGCCGTCGGTCAATTGCATAATGTTACATAATGTCGGGTCAAGGTCAGCCACGCAATGGACTATGGACCGAGATATGCTTGTAAAACAGACGTTATTACTACTATCAAAACTATAACTCTTTTCTTTCCTTACTTCCTGCAGTCCGGCCGACATTTAAGGCTGTTTAATTCTTCCACGAAATTTTAATACAAAGCTGATCGGCTAAGAAATGTGGGAAATCCATCATCGTGCATTATTTAAAAATAGCAAGTTGGTGTTGTCTGCCGGGTAGGTGGTAGCCTTTGTTGTATTGTGACCCAAAGAAAAAGGTATATCAGGCACGCATAATTGACTGGTCTGATAGGCATTTTATGTCAATTTGTGTTTGTCGATCTGACAACCAGCCCAAGAGGAAAACATATTGCAAACTAATCACAGCGAGCAAGACACGGAATCTTCTCACACAATTAACTCGACTGTGCTTGACTTCAAAGGTGCTCAAAAACTGCATGTGTGTAGTTGTTTTCTCCGACTTAAAAATGGCGGCATTATGCACCTTCCTTTCAAACAAATTCAATCAATGCGCATGCCCGAGGTGTCACACTTCATTGATGGAAGAATGAAGAAACTGGAAATGAGTAGCCTGCCATTTAAACTCGCACGAAAATGATAAAGAACGAATGCGAGAGGAAAACGGTAACAAAAAAGACGTTGATGAGCTCCAGCCATCTTTTTCTTTGTAGAACGAATATCACAGATGCACATTGATAGTTAATCATAATTGAAAGCGTCACTAGACTGAAATATCGATGACTGATATTTTGACAGTTGGTATAAAGTAATAATATCTCTCTAATTTCATAGTTCAGGATAACCAAAGATATCCTGTCAATGGACTGCACTATGCCATCGAAATTTTAAATCGCTCATCCTGTTAGAAGAAATTTCTTACACTCTTTGTACTGTTGATAGTTTCCTTATTCCCCTTTTTATTACACAACTTACTACCTTGAGAACTAGCTCAGATCTTAGGGAGAATGCTGGTCACCAGCTTATATGGTGACATTTACTGAGCTGTCAATCTTCATGCATTGTCATCATTTCTCACTTAGTTAGCGAATCACGTTACGAGAAACAGTTCATGCATGCTAAATATGTACCTTCGAGATGTTTACGCTTACAAAATCATTTTCTACCTTAAATTTCTTACTCTTACGGTCAAGGTCGGGCAAAACGAAAACAAGATTGTCAATACAAAAATTATAATGAACTTACTGACAGAATTAGAATCATACTTAAAAAGATATTTTAAGAGAAAATAGCCCTCGAAGACCGTTACACAACAACAGAATAAACAGAAAAATTCGGAGAAGAAAGGGCGTACCCAAGGTACGGCCTCTGAAAGAGCTAAGTGCTATTTGTATAAGTTACCTGATTAGAAATTCAGTGTAGAGGATGAAAAGTACTATTTATTTACACCTTAAGTCACCTCTAAGAAAAAGAGGTGTCGAAAGAGCGAAATTAAAACTTAAGACTTCGCCATGGACTTAACCTAACAAAACGAGAAGATCAAAGAGGTTAAAAATAGGAGAAGGGTTATTTCCAGGAACGGGATCAATTTTTGTAAGGTAAAGTCATTTTCTTCGTAATTGAACATCTTTTTGCAACATGATGGAATTACCCTAATATTTAAACCACAAATTGTAGTCTATGTAGAAACATCTGCTCCATGTCAAATTCACGACCGCAACAAGAAAAGGTGATCGAAATTCTACCTGTGAGATAAGACCGCCAAAAGGAATAGGAAATGATCAACTGGCTTATTATAACTTTTTTTAACCGAGTGGCTTATGGTATTATATTATTTCCATTCATTTTCCGAAGACTTAGGTCAGCTAAAAACACAAACACAGAAAATTCTTGCTGGATGCCAATTTTGTCTTTCAACAATCCTTATCACGTGACGAACAACAAAGCAGACTGAGTGATTGCCAACAGCTTAAAAAAAAATTGAAATTTTATAAAGTTTGATTGACTTGTTTTCATGTCACACAGTAAAGTATTCTCTTTATGTCACCGGGCGGTTGTAAATCAGAAAGAACATATCTTATCTGAACGAGAGCCATACTAACGTGTTACCTTCCGTCAGATATAATCATGTAGTTACATGGCTTGTAAAGGAGATCAACACTTCTTTGTTTCGAAATACTTCATCGTTATCAAGGCCAGCAAGGGAAACTAAGCGACTCAAAATAGCAACTTTTTAAAATTTGATCAACCCCTTTATGGGACCTAGTCATCTTACATATTCCATTAGGACTATCTTAACTTCATTTTCCTATACTATAGGCACATAAGCCACAGTAACTTTCCTTGAAAGTAAAAGCAAGGAAAAAAAGACACCCACCGAAGAACTATTCTTGATGATTAAAACATACAACGCAATTTTGTTTGATAGTTAGTTGGCAACAATAAACGTATGGTGCCGATATAGATTCAGTGGCACGTATAGGGATCAATTACGTGGAGCACCGCGAGTTTGTCACGACATCATTTTCATAAAGACAGTTCAACGGTGTACATGTAAGACGTCCAGAAGTTTCAAATCATAACGATAAAACCTTAATTGTAATGTCTACACAAACCATCACAAACAGTTTTACCACTGGTTACTGATAATTCTAAGTTTATATTTTAAATCGAAAGGTGCAGTTTTCTGGACCAAAGCTTGTGTAATATTGTATCTAACTGCCGGATTCCGGATCCATTATCTGCGAAGAAAAAGGATCTCAGGGTCGATTTCCTGAGGATATCATCATTGAATTGTCTTTATTGCTGGAAAAACTCAACCATTTCATGATAGCAGTCAAAATCATGGTTTAGGAAACAGTTCTAGTTTGTTCACTTGTACGCCAAAGTAGTATATAGGTTCCATAGCGACAGATCGCATGTTTTTTCTCATCGGCATTTTGTTTGATCGACCACTCAGACTTTCTTTAGACATCTTATAGAGGTGACGTTATAGCATAACTTAGCTACGTGCCTCCAGAGGGGCACCGAGGAAATGAAATTTTCCGCTGCATGCTATCCGGTTACGGGTATACCTGAGCCTAAGCTCACTACTCATTGTGTAACTAGCTTTGTAAAGCAGTACGACTTGAAATGCTTGGTGTACTCCAAAATGACGACAAAGTGATTCATATTTGACTCATAAACCGGAAAGTACTTTGGGCAACTATTCATCTCTTTGTGTTGGAACTGTTACTTTTACTACAAACTACAAAGCCAATATCGACCACAGTTAAATGAGTGAAGTAATACTGAAAAAGGCTATAAAATCAACGAGTTATGAGAAATATCAATTGATCCTTTCTCTTTAAGATCATCGAGCACTGAACAGACAAGGAGGTGAGGGACCATTCATTTAAAATTAGCGTTAAATCATTTCAACCGGGAAATTTAATGTGAAGTCATCAATACAGAGTAGCTAGACAGATTATTCTAGACGGCGCTCAAAATGAAAACAATATTCCGACCGTAATAAGTCACGCTAAATGAAACGACAGTATTTTTCACTTAAAATTGACAACTGAACTAATAAACCGCTCAAAGGGAAGTTTGCTAGAATCAAACTATCCTCATCGAAATTTCTAACTTCCTTCCTCTTGGATTCAAGGAGCTCCATACTCAAACATAAGAAATATTCAGTCATGATAGTTATTGACGTGACTGGGATGACCCTCATAAGGTTCTAGAACCAATTGGATATCTTGTATCTAAAACTAAGTAACTTTGTAACAAGTAAACAAACTGGTAACTTCTGGAATACTGTTTATAAGCTGCCTATTAAAGATTAAATCGCTCCGGAGGTAAATGAAAGAAGCTTTTGCGGATCACTCTTATGAAAGGAAAAAAGGGTAAACTTCTAGAAAATTTACAGAGTTGTTTTAAAACATCTCGCGTGCGAATCAGTTATTCATGCACGTTTGAATTTCCTTGTGGGTGTACGCTTGATCACTGCGCACGGCTGTAATCTCAGTTCGATGCAGAAAGCGTGGCTTCTAAAGCTCAGAGAACACGTGCTTAATCATCCAACTGGAAAAACCACCACAGGTCAGAAATCTCAACAGTATAGCGCGTTTGTTTTATTCAGACGATGGAACGAGTGTATTTATTTCAACTCGGAAAAGCAATACCGCACTTATATTGAAGATAGTTCTTCGTTCGGCATTCGTCTGTCCACGAATGGAAAAGAACAAGCGATGGAGGCCATTCAGAGGCAGTCAACTCACAAAGCAATCAAAGAAAGCTCTACAGATCAGTTTACTGGCATGGTGAGTATAAATACACTTTGTTTTGAATCATAGTTTTGAGGTCACTGAACTCATTTTCCTCGGTTCATATCTCTATGGGGCGGACGCAGGTTATGTAGCACCCATACTATGGAGGCCTATTTTCTTACTGTGATCTGTAAGAACGATTCAACTTAACGTAAGCATGAAGGTAACAAATTGCTTTATTGCCCATAATTGCTCTATTTTAAGTTCACACCATGCTTTGGGACAAGGCTGGTGATGAATTAACTTTCGTTTAACTGTACAGTTAGTCGAGGATATTTAGAACAGCGACAGCAATAGGTAGGCAAGAGAAAACATCAACATATCATGGGACAAATTCTTTATATTGCATTCGCCTGTTTTTCCCCAGGGAAGACAAAATTTGCCAAAACTCTACCGGAGAAAACGAGGTTGAAACAATATAAAACAATTTATGAGTTGAGCAATCATGATCTGATTTAATGTCATGTCTCACAGCAGTGCTTAATATAATTACACCGCACATTGGTTCCTGGTGCTGGACCTATCTCGAAACAGAACTTTTTCGAAACATGATAAAGAAGAGCTCCAGAAACTGGACTTTCACACTTCAATGATTTCTGAGATACAATTAAGAAATTATTCAATGAATTTTTCCCCCTCCCCCCTCCAAAATAAATGAATAAATAAATAGTTGACGTCTTAATCTCAGGGAACAAAGGACAAGAGGTTCAATGTATAACAACTGAGTGTTTTACCGTACGTAGACAATGCGCCTCTACGCTACAAAACGCCTTTACACATGTGATGTTGTCTCTAAAAGCTTCGCTACAAAACGCCTTTACACTTGTGATGTTGTCTCTAAAAGCTTCGTTGCTACTCTATCAATACTTGCTTTTAGACACCATTATTGGTTTTTATAACTCAATAGACAGTGCCGTCAATATCCCAATGACACTTTCTGTCATTTGATTATTTCGTTATTTTTTAGACGTGTAGATATTTCTTTACAACAGGAGTTATATGTTCAGGAGTGTTATAGGCTGTGGTGTGAGTATTAAGGTTGTAATTGTAAGTAAATTAGTCTATTTACCGTGGTTATGCTCGGTGTTAAAATCGGCCAAGTTCAGCCACGATCAGATCATTAGTTACTTGTGGTGTATGTTAAGTTGAAGTTGAGTGAGAAATCTGTATCCACACAAATAACTTGTTTCAGCTTTTGTACTCCAGTCTTTGCTAAATTGATTGAGAGGCCAGGTTGATTCTATCAGTTTGACAATCACGTTTCAATATTGGATAACATTTTAAGTCTTTGATAATAGACGTAACGAAGATCGCTAGTTTTGCTTTGTGTATCAACTTCGTTCACTCGGTGTAGATAAATATACAGGCCTAGTGTCTCTGATAATTGGTTAAAGACACCAAGATAAAAAAAGGTGTTCGAATAGCAAAAGTGATCCGATTTTGTTACTAAAATGGTTGTCATTACCTAAACTGAAACAAAGACTGCTGTAGCTGATCTGATGTTTGTGGAGTTAGGGTTACATGTGTAGAAAGTATAACAGTCGGTGATGCAAATAAATTTCAATGCTCCCATAAAACTATAAGACGAAGTGTTAAGTGTATATTTATAGTCTGGGTCGTGAGCTGAAGTTGTCCAAATGCGCAACAAGCGAACGTTTTAAGAATGGAGCTCGCAATATAACAAGGAGATCGTTGAGCGAAGCCTAAAATAGGTCAGGAGTTGCTTTTTGATTTTAGGGTTAAGCGTTAGTACCCAAAGGAATTTTGACCTTCGAGAAATGACTTGTTTATCTCCCTAAATCATTTTCAAAATAACCTAGTTTAATATCTGTCGGAGGTTTAAGTATTTCTCTGTGCCACCAACTACCATTCAAGGTCTAGATAGACCTCTGACAGTGCCTGTTACTCGGGGCGGTGAAGGTCGGTAAGACCCTTCTGAAGAAGGCGTCAGTTTTCAGTAAAAGTAATTGAGATTTTAAAACCACCAGCGTGGTCTTTTGTTACGTCTGCACCTGTGCTCAGGATCTTTTGGGGAATCAATTAGATAGAAATAATAACGAATCATTCAAAACGTGCTTCAGAATATTGTGAGGTACTGTCTGTTGTCATATCTCATGTCACTTGTCCAAGATAAACGGATGATACTAAGAAAAGAAAGCCCACGTTTTGTTAGCAAAACAAAAGTACATTTTAACTTTGTCATCATTACGAGTATAACTCTTATCATACACCGACAAACGAGAAAGAAGACAAGGGAGAAGAGAAAGTTAACGCTTGGTTCATTTAATTGGCAAAAAGCAAAAATTAGTGAGCAGTCACTCCCTGTGAAAGTTGGCTCACCGTCTCTTTTCATCCTTTTGCTCGAATGTGTAATCATACTCCTTGCGATTCGACTCGTAAATATTTTGGAGAAGGAAAGTAAATAGGGAACATTTCATGCAAGATTTCGATCACAAAGTAGGTCAGCATCTGATATAGGAAGTACGGACTTAGGACAAAAATGTTAGAGGGGCTAACCTTTCTGTACTTGTTGTTAATCTTAAAGGCTGAAACTGAATGAAAATATATATTTATCACTTTTTGAACTTTGGTGAAGGGCTTGGCCGGGATAAGTACAAAGTCACCACACGTTCATTTGTCTTTGCATTTGGCTGTAACTTACATAGTTTGTTAAAACATTCCTTCTTAAAAGTGGTGGGCATGTCACCTGTGGGATCTGGTGTTGATATGGTTGATTTTTTTTATCAGTTTCTGAGTTGATTTTGTTGTTAGTTCTTCTTTGTCTCGAATTTACTCCAACACATTAAACTCCTTACTCGATCTTTTCAACGGTAGACAAAGGGCATTCCAATGGAAGTGCCAGTCTTCATTCATTTGGCCTCTCACTTGACATCCAAAACGAAACACTCTTTGCCCAATATACTAGCAGAGTTTGACAAGAAACTACAAAGATTCAGTAAATAAAAACACGACTAAATCTAAACAAACGTCGAGAGATGGTGAAACCTTCATGTTCCATGTCTAGTACGACAGCTGGGTTAGGTCACTGGGTTCCGGAGCATTGGCTTTATTGCTGCGTATGAAAACGATAAAGAGATAGAAGTAATTTTCAACACGTTATATTTGATTACACAGATGCGACGATTATTTCTTGTTATAATTACCCGAACTGCTTTGTCTTTTTCTGTTTTTTAATTGATAACATGACTTGACAATGAACCACATTATGAGGACTGGACTGGCTTGAAAGGTTTATAGATGAAACTTAGTTTTTTTTCAGTTAAGACATGGAGCCAAATAACAAATGAAATAAGGGTTTTCGGAAGTTTGTTGCAATTGGTGTTGCAAAAGGAGAGGACTGAAGAAGAAACTTCCCTCTCCGACAGAACTTGCAGGAAAACCTTTGCTGCACGGCCACAGTCTATTACTGGGGAGGGGGGGGGGGGGGGGGGGGGGGGTGGCGGTCATCCACTTTAATAGTATAAGAAAAGACAAAAAACTTTTCTTCCATCTTTACTGACGCAGACAAATGAGCCCTTAGGGGAGTTATGCTCGCTCAGATACTAAAATATATTTAATGAGTCAATTTTTGCACGAACTCGTGCGGAGCTTCCGATTCTAAATCTTTACATAAGGAACGAAGCTATGTAATAGGAAGAAGTTTCTGTCTTTTCTTTTCATGACACATGAATGATCGGTAGAATCTTTTTTCTGAGTAGCGATAGATCGCCACCATGAAGACTCTAGAAAGGTCACTATTGAAAGAGGTGAGCTAAAGGGCGTATAAATTTTCAACCGATACACGATGACTGCTGCGTATGATACGATCGTCTGCGTCATTCGTTAAATTTCTTCAGTTTTTTTGGCAAACATTAAAGATATTTCAAGCTTTTTGTACCCAAGAACGCTCCTCGTCAGCACTGTAAATTGAAATGATAGTTGTCCTTCTTAAACACCGAAAATCGCTTTCGTGACAAATCGTCAGCCTGGGCGGTACAGACGCATTCGTTAATTAAAATCTCACATTTGTTTGCAGAGTACAAATGGACTTTGACTTAAATAGCCACACGCTTCTATTTTAGGTGTTGGTTGCAACTCTACGCAAGATGGTCTTTCGAACTTTTCTATGGAGCGGTCAGATTCGCTTTGTCTAGATCTATTTGTCATGAGGAAGGAGGCAATATTTTTACCGAGACCTACTTAATTCTTTGTATAAGGTGTTTGTTCCATCAACAGTTCTTAATCTTGAATCACGTACATACAACAGCACGCGTCCTTGAGCTGATGTTATGTAATTCTTAAAGCAAGGCGCTCATTGTTAAGGACACACTTAAACAGATATTGTTTAAAAAGGCTAGAAATGGTAACATTTAGAAACCTAATGACATAAATTTTCTATGATTAAGTAACAAATGCCAGACTCCAGACCTTTCGGTACAATTTATCTTAGACACCGATTCACTTATCACTCCTCAGGTCGCGCCTAGTGGTTCATTAATCTGTGACAGTTCTTTTAAGGGTTACATAACAACAGAATTTATCATGAGATTCTAGTCATCAATTTACCATCTGTTTCACCTATGCCATCCACCCTCCGTCGGTAAAATTCTTATTAGATATTTAATCAAGATTAGTTCTCAGTTGACTGTGAAGAGGCACGCTGCAAAAAATTTCCAGCAAAGCTCTTCCTTTTTCCAGCAGTTTCATTTCCTTTTACAAAATAAGCAAAAAAGGTCTGAGAGACAAACAAATAGAAATAGTGGCAGACATTGCAAGGAAAGAAGCTTCTTGTAAAGCTTTTATGGCTGATTCAGAGAAAGTGGATTGAATAATGTCTGATTCTGAGAACACGACTTCCAAAGGGGGTGGTTTGGTTGGTACCTCTTTGCTGGTAAGTTCAGTTAAGTCAGTGACAGAAATAGGAGTTTTTAAACTTTTTCTTGGTATTAACATCTTTATCTACCTTAACTTCGAATGCATACAAAATTTTCTTC